TGAGAAGATAATGGGAGCCAAGGGTTTCCCCAGGCCCAGCAGGGAGGCAAGGGGAGGTAGGGAAGAGGCAGGATGATAATAATTACAAACATCTTCATAATCATGACACTTGGTCACCTCAGTTGAGGACTCTGTTCTTTTCCAGAGCGTTTCATCTCCTTCATCTTATTAAGGGGTATCCCTCACCCAGGAGAAAGGAAGGGTAAAGTGTTGTCTCCATTTTACGGAAGGGGAACTGAGGCCCAGTCAGGCCGAGTAGTTTTCCCACCGCCACACAGAGAGCCAAGGAGAGGGCTGGAATGAGAATTTGTCTTCAATCCCTGACATCCACTCCACATGACACCACCTTCTCCCTGAGCAGCTGGAGGTCCTGGGGCCCAATTTTGAGCTTCCGTTGGATTTCACAGACAGCAAGGGTTAAAGGGACAAGAAGGGAAAGAATTCTGGCCTGGGAGCCAGAGCATGGATTCCAGTTCTGGCCCCATGACAAACCGTGTCAGAAAACAGATAAACTAGAAATGAGGAGTGGGCAAGCCCCCTCCTTCCTGATACTGGTACCCACGGGTCTCCTGCGCAGGGCCAAGGACACAGACCCAGAGATCTTCTGACCGTACAGAGAGAGGAGAAAGGAATAAACTCTTATTGAGCACCTACTACATGCCTGGCTTCACCAGGCACTTAAATCCATCATCTCTAATTCCCATAGCACCTCTGAGAGGCAGAGTGGGCCCCTCTAAATTACCAGTGAGGAAACAGGTCAAACAGGGGGAAAGACTTGATTGAGGGTACAGAGTGAGGAAGTGGTGGGATTTGAACCCAGGACTCTCTGATGCCAAAGTCCACCCAGTCTCCATGAAGTTGTGAGGGGCATCTCTTTGTAGGAGTGTCCAACTTCTCATGCTGATTTGGTGGCTTGTGTCATCCTTGCTGCTTCCTTCTGGGTGCCGGTCTCAGTACAGGCACAGTGAGTCCAGGAGGGTGACATGCTGGCTACAGTGTTGTGGGTTTGAATCTTTTCCTACCACTTACTAATAACCTAATCTTGGGAAGGTCATTGAGCCTCTCTGTGACTCAGTTTGCTCATCAGTTCAATCAAAGGCTGGGGCATCAGTTCTCAGTCTGGAATGCACTTCAGAATCACTGCAGGAGCTTTTAAAATCCCCTTGCCTGTGCTCCACCCCAAGAGAGCTCTATTAAATTGGTCTGGGATGGGGGCTCAGCATCAGTTTTACTTTAAAGCTCCTAAGAGATTCTAATGTGCAGCCAGGTTGAGAACCACTGGTTTCTGTGCTCTCCAAGGACCAGCCTTTTCATAGCCAACATTCCACATGGAGCCCTGGGCTCTGAGATACTGTTTACCCGAGAATCCTTTGGGCAACCCTTCCTATGCCAGCCTGGAATTAGGCCCTTGATCCCGCGTAGCAGGACTGGGTGGCAGCACCATGGACAGCAAATGGCTCATTCTAGCCAATCCCATCCCTGCTAATGGAAGTCTGGGCTTGAACCAGCTGCCAGAGAGCGAGAATCCTGAGCCCAATTCCTTGCTGTTCCTCTGCTCTTCCCTCACTCTCCTTTCTTTGACTCTTCTCTCATTTGCCTATCTACTTCTCCTACTGATCCCCTCTCCTACAACCTTATAAGGCAAGGTATATGTGTGTTTTGACATCAGATCGACCTGGGTTTGAATCCTGCCTCTCCTGTTTCCTTGCCAGATGAATTTAGCCAGGGGCTGTCCTTGCTGCTGAACAAGGAAATCTATTTGAGTTCTCACAGCGATCCTGAGAGCTTGGTAGTAATATTACCCCCATGTCACAAATGATGAAATTGAGGCAAAAGGGGTTCATTACTAAACATCACTCAGCCTCCGTTTCCTCGTCTGCAAAGTGGAAATCTTAATAGAGCTTACTTCAAGGTTCTATTATATGAATTCAATGAGATGCTATACATAAAGGGCTTATTATAGTATGTATCACAAAGAAGTTATTTAATAAACCTAATCGATCATTATCATTGAATAAGGGCATATAATAATGGGTTTCATTATTAATTTACATTGTCACCCTTCACTGTGTGTGGCAGTTTCCTCATCTGTAAAATGGAATTGATGCAGGATTGCTCTGGAGTCGGCTCGTATCAGCTCCTGAGAGCCAAGTATTGATTTTCAGGAGTTTTATGAACCACTTGATGCCACATTCATAGCATGAAATTGGCCACGGTGAGAGTGTTTACACCGTAGGAATCAGCAAACGCTACAAAGCAGGGATTTCCTCCCTACCCCTCCATCCCCCAGAGCCGGTGGTTAAACACGTGCCGGCACGCCCCTGCATCTACATCAGAGAATTGGTGTGAGGACTGAAGGAGAGAATGGCCGTGATGGCGCATTGCGAAATGCAAACTGCTGAACTTAGGGGCACGGCCCAAGGTGGTCCTACAGCAGCCACAAGCCTGGCACCCTTTTGTCTGCGGATTCTGGGGAGCTGCTGACTTGTGAAGAAGGTGGGAGGGCGTGTGGGGCCTTGGGGAATCAGTGGTGAATCACTGACCCTTTGCCATCCCCACGTGTCGGCATTAACTGTGATGGCTGCAATAAGGAATCCCAGATCGGGGAAATGATTCCATCATCCCCGCGGGAGTCCCAGCGATGCAGCCAGGGATAGAGAGAGAGAGAGCGCTCATCCTTGTCCCTGGGGAGTCACTCAGCCCGGCCCTGTGCCTTGCCCAGGGGGAGAGGGGGAGAGGGGGAGAGGAGAGTGACAGGGAGACCCTCTCGCATAACTGTTACAACAGCTACTAGTTACTGAGCACCCACCGTGAGCCTGATGCTTTATGTATCGTCTCTCATTTCAGTGCGTCTGTGAGGGAGGCTTGATTGAGCCGTTGTATACAGGCATGCAGCGTCCGCTGAGAGGACAGCAACCTGCGTTTAGTGAGTTCTTAGCGTGGGATGGGCACTGTCCTCGGTGCTGAATACAGAAGCCTATTTGAATTCTGAAACCAATCCCAGGAGTTTGGTGGTACTCTCACCCTCATTTCACAAATGCGGAAATTGAGGCAAAAATGGGGCTCATGACAGGCCCAAGGCCAAACTTCTAATAAGCGGCAGAGTCACTGATTGTGATTCAGTACACCAGGCCACCATCCAGAGTCACTGTGTGTGTGTGTGTGTGCTGACTCTGGCTCCCAGAGGACTTTGGCCTTAGAGAGTCCTGGGTTCAAATCCCACCACTTCCTCAGCCTTTGCCCTCAGTCGAGTCTTTTCCCCTGTTTGACCTCTTTCCTCACCTGTAATTTAGAGGGGCCCACTCTGCCTCTCAGAGATGCTATGAGAATTAGAGGTGATGGATTTAAGTGGCTGGTGAAGCTAGGCATGTAGTGAGTGCTCAATAGGGTTTATTTCTTTCTCCTCTCTCTGTTTAAGCGGAGGCGCCTAGGATCATGCCCTTGCCCTGAATAGGAGACCCCTGAGTACCAAGCATCAAGAAGGAGGGGGCTTGCCCAAACCTCTTCCCCAGCTTCTGCAGGCAACTCTGACATGGTTGATAGGGAGCCGGAGCCTCCAAAGAGAGAGGCGCATTGCAGGGCCGGTGTAGGAGGCTGGGGCGGGGGGGACACGGAGAGGGAAATGAGAAATGCAAAAGAGTGAAAAATAAATACATGTGTCTGTCTGGAGTGATCGAGGGCTGGAGGTGGGAGAGGCGGGTGGCCGGCTGGGCTTAGCAGAATTGCTGCAGTAGCGCTTGCAGAGCCTCACTCATTAGCCAGGCAGTGAACTGGCGTCACCCCCCCAGCATGCCGCCCCGCTGGCCCAGAGAGCCCAACCCACCAGGAGGGCCCTACCCAGAACCTCAGGAGGCCTGGGCCCCAGCCCCTCACCATCAGGGCACCCAGAAGAGGGCATCTCCTTGAGGTGAGGTCTGAGTCTCATCCCCCTTGGGTCCTATCCTGAGCCCCCGAGACTCCCTCTTGGGTCTTGCATCTCACACCCTCCTATCTGGAAAGGTTTGGATGGACCACACAGCTTTGCCCACCCCTTCCATCACCCCCACCCTGTCCAGCCTCACATCCCAAGCCCTGCTTTTGTCAAATTGAACATGATGTCAAATTAGAGCCATCTCTGGGACAGGCCGAGAGGAGCTCCCAGTTTAATGAGGCAGCGTCGAAAATCAATAACTTAATTGCCGCTGTTTGATGGACTTTTATCCAATTTATACTCTCCCCAGCAGCCTACGTGCAGAGCATGAGGAGAAGTGTGTGTGTCGGGGGCGGGAACTGTCTGGGCACCCGGGAGGAGGGGCGAGGAGGGCACCAGGACCCACAGCCAGCTACTTCCAAAGGGAAAGCTGGCCGCTGCTCTTCTGCCTGGGGCCCAAGAGACACTGACCCTGAGCCCCAGTGAACTTGGTTGTCCTTCTGGGATGCCCGCACATCCCCATGGCGGGATGGCGGGGGTGGGGAGATTAGGATGTGGGAGGAAGGAGGCAGAATTCCCTTGAGAAATCAGGAGGGGCTGGGATGGGTAGAAGGACCCCTGCTTTGGGAGTAAAGTGCCTGGTTTCCAGTGTTAGCTGTAACTCTGTGATGACCTTAATTGGTGAAAATAACCATTTCCACCACCCACTGAGATACTGCTCTGAGTTCTGCACTGGGAGATTAAAATGTGTTCCCTCATGAACCAAGGACTAGGACTGTCCCCATTTTGCTGGTGAGGAAACTGAGATGAAGAGAGGCTGTCTTCCCCTGCCAGAGTTTTACAGCTGGGAACCACCGAAGGGAGATTTGAATCCAGATCTGACTGCATGGTCATGCTTGTGCCACCGGGAAGGCCCCAGGTCTGGAAGCGGGTTGGGGCTTAATGTGAGGATGAGGACTGTGAGGGGATTGGCTTCAATGACCTCCGGCCTAGGTCTCCTTTCCCAGCTTCTCTGGGAGTGGGGAGCGATGGGGAGGACGAGCACAGCGGCCCCAGCTGACCCCTGTCTCGCTTGGTCCCCTGGGCCCAGGCACGTCGGTGATGCAGGTGATGGCCTCGGATGCGGATGACCCCACGTACGGCAGCAGCGCTCGACTGGTGTACAGCGTGCTGGATGGCGAGCGCCACTTCACCGTGGACCCCAAGACCGGTGAGGGGCGGGGCCAGGCCAAAGGGGCGGAGCCGGGGCGGAACCAGAGGCGTGGCGTAAGGGGCGGGGCCGGAGGGGGCGGGCGGAAGTCTCTCAGCGTTCCCACCAACAGTGCTGAGGTTAGGACAGAGGACACCGAGGCATCTTTCTGGCTCCAGGAGACCCCAGGGTCGCGGAGAGGGAGGGCGACCAGGCAGGAAGAGAGAAGGACCGAGGAGCAGAAAAAAAAATAGAGTGGGGGGCGCATGCAAGACTGGTGAGGAAACCAAAAGGCAGGAGGCCATCACTATGGGCACCCTGAAAGGACTTCAGAGGTCGGAACTCAGTGGCCCCTCTTGCCGTTGGAGCTAAACTGAGGCAGGCGTGTCCGCAGCCCAGACGGGGTCGGTCATGGTCATAAGTGTCGCTGGGGGCCGGGGGTAAGGGGGGGACGGCCGTCGGCCGGTGAAGGCACCTTTTCGGCAGTTGTGAAAGCTGTTCAGGTGGTAGTTGTTAAGGATCTGATGGGAAGACCGAGGCCGAGACCGTTAGGGAAGGATGGCTTCTTGACTTCCTTGCCCTCCCCCCCATCACCAAGCAATGGTGCAGCACTCCCACGCACCGTCCCCCACGTCACTCACTCTGAGGCTAGAACCTGAGTACATCTCTGAGGGGCCTCGTGAGAGTGGCAGGGAGAACAGAGGCAGGAGGCTGAGGCTCAGAGGGATGAAGTGGTTCACTCAAGGTCCCACAGCTGGGAGCGGCTGCCGGTGACAAGGGCAGTGCTCTCACTGTCCCAGGGACTGGAGAAGGCAGGGGATGAGACATCAGACACCACGGAATGTTCGTCAAATGCTTTCATGGGGCTCACAGTTCAGTGGGGGCAGGGTGACAGGCATCCGTGTGGGCAATTAGGATGCAAGTTTCTTGGAGGCGGGAGCAGCAATCTCCAAAGGATGAGAAAATGTTGGCCAGACCGAGATTCAGAGAAGGGCATTCCAGGCAGAGGGCATGGTGTACGCAAAACTGGGAGAAGGAGAACAGCCTGAGGCATGAGGGGAATTGTAAGCAACTCAGGACTGGAGAAGAGGCTTGTTGAGGGGTAATGCAGAGAGGCTGGCAGGGGCCTGACTGCCCCGTGTAAGGCGGGCTGAAGCACTTGGATTTTATTCTAAGGGTGGTGGGGTGGGAGGGTGTTTGATGGATTTAGGTTTGGGGTTTTTGTGTGTGTTTGTTTTGTTTAGGCGGAGAGGTTGAGGATTCCAGTCTATAATTGCATTCTCTTACACATAATATCCGCATTATTTTTTTCTCCTTGTGAAACCAATACGTTTTAGAAAACATTCAAACAGTAAAGAAATGTTTTTTAAAAGAGACAAAGGAAGGAAGGAAGAACGGGCTTCCCACCCTCATCCCCAGTAATTGCAGCCCCAAAGGTAGCCACTTGGTATATATATCCTATGAGACCTTGAACTCATTCACTTGAAAAGTATTGAGGTTTTTTTTTTTTTAAAATAGATAATACATTTCAAGGTTCAAAATTCAAAAAGTCCAAATTTGTATTTAGTGGAAATTCTTCACCCCCTCTAGTCCCCCAGCCACCCAGTCTGTATCCCCAAGGCAACCAATGTAATTTTCTTGTGTATCTTTCCAGAGCTATTCTATGCATGCACAAGAAAATAGGTACATGTATTTGGTGTTTTTTTTTACACAAATGGTAGCTATAAACACACACTTGCCTTTTTCGCTTAACAATACATCTTGCAGATTATTCCATATTGGTACATAAAGAGCTTCATCATTCTTTTATTTAACAGCTGTTGTGGATACACTAAAATTTATTTCACCAGTCCCCTATTGATGGACACTTACGCTGTTTCCAATCTTTTTCTACGACGAGCAGTGTTACAGTGCATAACCTCATACATAGATCATTTTGTGCTTGTGTGAATGTATCTGCAGGATAATTTTCAGGAAGTGGAAGAGCTGGGTCAAAGAGCATAGTGCGTTTGGAATCTGTATAGATGATGAGGAAATGTACCAGATTACACTCCTGAAGACCCGAGTACGAGAGAGCCTGTTTCTCTTCCCCCTCACCAACACTGTGGATTCATTGATGACTTTTAAGCAGGGAAGTGACATGCTCAGGTTTTCATTTTAACAAGATCCCTGGGGCTGCCACTGTATAGCATGGCTCAGAGGCAGGAACTGAATTCAGGGAGACCCAGGAGCCTGGAGTGCCCAGCAGAGAGCCCCGAAAGACAAAAGCCAAAGCCTGCGCCCTTTCTCAGCACCCACCCAGACTCCTTAACCTGCTTCATCTAGTTAGGGAGCCAGAGATGATACGGGATTGGTAGAGAGGGTTAGTTGAGATACTGAGGAGGGAGAATGAGGGATGACAGTGAGATTCTGCAAAGGGCAAACCTTGGAGGCCTGGATGCATGTACGGGACTATATTCAGGGAGGAATCTGGGGGTTCCTAGCTTTGGAACCTAGGATGGGAAGGGGCACCACCTACAGAAACAGAAGGAGGAACGTAGATTAAGAAAACTGTCTAGGGACAGAGGAATTACTGAATGTGTTCCAGGATCTGATATAGAGCTAATTAATTCAATTTTAACTATATTGGCTTTAAGATGAGAGAAGAGGAGGAAAGAAACATCTAGGATGGGCCGTCTGAAATATGGCCCTAAAGCTCCAGGAATGGTTGAGCCTCTTTAAGCTTTGGTTTCCCCATGTACACAACAGAGGTAATAATACTCATCTCACATGATTGTTGTGAGGATCCAATGGGAGAGTTCATTCATTCATTCAGCAACTCTTTATTGAGTCCTGTACGTGCCCAGCTCTGCTCTAGGCTCTAGGAAGGCAGCAGCAGGGAAACCCAACACCCTACCCTCATGGAGCTTTTATTTAAGTAGGAAATACAGAAAATAAGCACATAAACATACAACATAATGTGGAGTAGCAATGAGTGCTAGGAAAACACATAAACAGGGTAAGAGAGTAGACTTAGAAGAAGAAATCAGGACAGGCCTTTCTGGGGAGGTGATGTTGGGACTGAGTCCTGAATGAAGTGAGGGTGTGAGCCACTTCGTATCTAGGAGAGATACTGACATGCTCAGTGCAATACGTGGTACATAAACGTAAACCAGGGGGATGATGGGGATGATGGTGAAGCCTTCGTCCATTCAACCTGAGGAGGTGAAGTCCTTAGAGTTGATCAGCTTTAAGGTGGGGAGGAAAAGACAGAACACAGAAATAAGGGAAGGGCCAGGACTGAGTCTGGGAGGTGGCAGGGGTGGGCAGATGAAGCATCAGACTCCAGAGTGAGGAGGATGGCCAGGTTCTAAGAAAGAACATCCCCCACTGCAGAGAGCCAGGAGGAGGGTGGCAGGTGGGAGGCCGTGGAGCCTGGGAGGGCAGAAACAGTTCTCAAGAAGCCAGAAAGTGGGCACCAGGCAAGGTAAGTGAAGAAACACAAACAGGGTCCTTGTTTCTAGGGTCCTTCAACTTTCTCTGTTTGGAAGGGTCTTTGTAGACATTGCCCAGGAAGGACCCGATTTTTCCTCCCCTTTCCTTCGGCCCCATGGTAGGAGCCACCCTGGTGCCATTTCCAGCCCCAGCTCCATTTCCCCAGCCAGGAATATTCCGCTCATGCGGGTCTATATTTAGCGGCTGCTGCGAGGTACAGTCTGTTCTCGCTGTGCAGATAGCAGGGGGCAGAGCCGGAACAGGGCCTGTGAGGAAGGTGTGAGGGAGGGGAGAAGGCGGGGCGCCACGAGGCTCGTGCCAGAGGAGGAATTAACTTGTGTGTTTTAAAGGCCAGGCCTGCCCGTAGACCCCCAACAGGGAAAACAGGGATGGCATTTGCGGGCTGATGAGGCGTCGCTTGGGCTCCAGGGCCCCTTCTGCAGCATTTGGAGGGGACGGCGGGGGCGGGGAGAACAACAGCTGGAACTGGGGCAACTGCTGAGGACAAGGCTGTGGGTTGCTGGGGCCGGGTTCTCATTACCAGCCCCCGCTCACCACCACCCCAGCAAGAATAGAAAGCCTCTCTCTCTCAGAGACTCCAAGATATCTGCTGACAATTCTCAATTGAGCCAGAGATGTTTGCTTTTCCTGGGAGGGAATGAAACTAACCTTTGTAAGTACCAGATCCTGATCAGGGTGATGTACTAGATCTGGTTTCTGCCTTCACGGTGCTTTTGTTCCAACAGAGAAGCCAAATACAAAGAGACAACTACACCCAGGCTGCGAGAGGTGGGCAGAGGGTCTATGGTTGTAGGTCAGTAAGTCAAAATGTTTATCGAACACCTACTATATGCCGGACCCTATAGATAAGATGATGGATGGACAAGACCAGCATGAATCTCGGCCCTTGTGGAACTGATTTATGAGGTCCTCAACCCAGGACTTGAGGAGGGGGAGTCATCAAGGCATCTCCAAAATGTGGGACCTGCTGCTGGAAGCTTTGTCTCATTTAACCCTCTTAACAGCCCTTCCAACTGGGTATCCCCATTTGACAGAATAGGAAACTGAGGCTCAGAGAGAGTTAAGAACTTACCCGAGGTCAGATAACGTATAAATGGTGGAAAGAAGGCTTGAATCCATACCTGTCTGACTCCAAAGTCCTTCAGAATCCCAAAGTGCCTCTTATCTGACTCTGTGCAGCCCTGGCACATAGTAGGCCCTCAGTAAGGGCCTAATAAATGGGTCAGTGAGTGAATCTTCAGAGCCAGATGGTTTAAGAACAACTTTATCAGCTGATTTGGGAATTTTCCCCCAGGCCCCCCAGGAGGGCACCAGCCTGCAATATGCTTCTCCCAGCATCAGGAGTGGGAAGTGGAACAGAGTAGATAGCAAAATATGCCATCAGTTCCTGCCATCCCTGAACTGCCTCTTGGTAAAGTGACTGTGCTGGGGAGAGGAGGGGTCTATTTCCCTGCCCTTTGAATCTAGGCCACCTTAAGACTTGCTTTGGGCCAATAGAATGTAGCAGAAGTGATGTTCTGCAAATTCCCTGATTAGGCCTTAAGAGACCTTGCAGTTTTCACTCTTCTCTCCTGGAACATGGGCCTGAGACTACCATATAGGGAAGCCAGCCCAGCTCAATGGAGGATGAGAGAGGCCTGGCCAATAGCCAGGGTCAACCGCCTGGCAGGTACATGAGGCTATCTTGGACCTTCCAGCCAGATGACCCTGCAGTGAAACGCAGCTGTGTGAGTGAGCCCCAAAGAGGGATGGCCTAGGGAGCTCGATTTCTCTGTTAACCTATCTACCGCTATATGACAAACCGTCCCCAAACATGGTGGCGTAAACAAAACCGATTTATTATGTGTCACAATTCTGTGGGTTGGATGGGCAATTCTTTTGCTGGGGTCACTCCCATGGCAACAGTCAGCCGGCAGTTCGGCTAGGACAGCTGGCATGCCTCGGCCTGCCACATGGCCTTTCATCCTGGCCTTCTTCACAGCACAGTGGTCTCAGGGTTCCAAGAGGACGAGCCCCAGTGCACAAGGGCTGATCAAGCCTCTGCTTTTGTCACACTTGCTAACGTCCCATTAGCCAAAGCAAGTCGCACGCACGGCCAAGGCCAGAGTCAGTGTGGAAGGGGATGACCCAAGGATGTGGATCCCAGCAGGCACACTTCATCAGGAGCTATCACCATAGCAACCTATCACTGGGTGTGACCCCAGGAACAGGGTCCAGAGACAGCATGGCCTCAGGGTACCAACCTCCTAGTTGCCCAGAGATGGCATCTAATCACACACTGTTTACCTGTTTCCAGGTAAGAAGACTTCAGTGTCCCCAGTTCCCCTGGAGCTGGAAGTGACAGGGCAGCAAGGAGGCCGGCCACATAAGCATGGCTCCTCACCCACAGGGGTACACCTCAGCCAGACCCCTGCTCCGAGCCCCACTCAGAGTGAGGGTCACTGAGCTTCTGGTCCACAAGCTCATAGATGTACAGCGGCCCCGATCCCATCACCAGCGTCCGCATCAGTGAGATCCTAGGTGTAAATGACATGCACAAAGCTTAGCACGTAGTAAGTGTTCAACTGGCCCGCACCCCTCCTGCCTTTCTGCCTGGCTCACACCGGGAGCCCTCTACCACGTCTCTGGCCCAGTGATCACTCCCCCGTCAGTCCATCTGTCTACCCTCTCCTTCCTCCCTCCCACCCTCTTTCTCCACCCCTTGCTGTCCGTCTGCCTCTCTGGTGTCCCTGAGAAGCTCTGTTCACGCTGCCCTTGCTGTTCTTCGTCTTGCTTTCTCCCCCTCTTTCTCTCTTTCTGTTTCTCTCCAGGTCTCTGTCTCTCTGTGGATCTCTGTCTTACTGCCTCCTCCTGCGTGTGTGTATTTCTCTCTGGCTTTACTGCTCCCCTCTTTCTCTCTTTTTCTGTCTCTGTGGGTCTCCCTTTCCCTCTCCTCCCCTCCTTTCCCTTCCACTTTGCCTCTGAGTGCGTGGCTCTCTGTCTCTTTCCCCTCTAACGCTCACTAGATTGCCTTCTGTCTGTCTGTCTCTTCTCTCTCTCTTCTTCCCTCTCTGCCACCTTCATCCTTCTTCCTCTCCTCTCTTTTCCCTTTCTGCTGTTTCTCTCCTTCCAGCCCCCCAGGGGAGAGGACATGACAGGCCCACATTCCCAGTACAGCCCCTGCTGTCCAGGACTGCAAACACTCAGCTAAGAGACCAGCCAAGGCCTTGGGCCCCATCCTCATCCCTAGAAGGGCATCCCTCTGACAATCCCAGTGTTGAGGTGCGGCACCAGGGGGAAGGAACAAGGGGCCTGCCGCGTGATTGGAAGCATGTCTTGCCTGATTAGGACTGAGACGAGCACGGGGGCTGTCTCATGAGCTGAGACAGGACCACATAAACAGCATTTCTCTGTCAGAGGCCTGGGCTCTCCCCTTGTACCTGGTGGTGGGCGGGAGGGGGGACACCAGGCAGGCTGGGCAGGGACCCTCCGTCCTTACAGTGGTCCAGCAGAGCAGTCCACAGCATGGATTCTGGCCCCAGAGTGCCTGCTGGAATCCTGACTGTGCGCTTTCTACATGTGTGACCTTGGGCCAGTACTTAACCTCTCTGTGCCTCCACCTCCTTATCTGTAAACTGGGTATAATCAAAGCACCTTCCTCCTAGGGGTGTTGAGAAGATCAAATGAGGCAGTTCACTCAGATGCACGTCAGGGTCAGTTATTGTTGTTATTGTCACATGCAGTCCTCATGAGATGAAACTCTGAGCCAGTGGTTCTCAACCGATTTTGTCCCCAGGGACCATTTGACAGTGTCTGGAACTAGGGTTGGGCAGGGAGGGTGCTGCTGCCAGCATCTAGTGGATGGAATTATCCTGCCCCAAATGTCCATGGTACCAAGTTGGAGAATCTTGTTCTTTAGGGAGGTATTGTGACTGTCCCATTTTACAGATAAGGAAACTGAGGTTCAGAGAGGTGAAGGGGTTTGCTCAAGATCACATGATCAACAAACGGCAGATCTGGGATTTATCCCAAGTTCGTCTGCTTCCAAGTCTCCCCTGCCCTTGGAAAGACCAGTCCCGGCTGAGGAGGGGCCAAGAGAGAGCTTACTGAGGAGTCTTGAAGGCTTCTGATAGAGAGTCTGTATGACCCCTGATTAGACAGACTACACTTTCCATATCTCCATGGGATCCCTCAAAAGCAGGGTCACCCCCTAGGTGCCCACCCCTGGCTCCCCCAGCTATACACACACACACACACACACACACACACACACACACACACACACACTCACACTCCAGCCTCTCCTCCCATTCCGTTGCCTTTATTGGCATCTAGAGGCTGTCTGGGGACGTCAGGAGTGAGAGATTGGGTATTATGGGGCACATCATGGGGCTGCTGGTGCGTGACTCCACCTGGCGCTCAGGCCCTGGGCACCACCTGTCACCACTGGTGCTCGCACGTTGGAGGGGGTTGGGGGTAGGAGGGGGAGGCTCTGAATGGCTCATCCACTTCCCCCTCCCCCCTGGTCTCCCACTGGCAGGGAGACAAGAAGCCCAGCCTTCCCCTGCACAGGATCAATCTTGTGGCCACCCCGACTCCTGCCGCCCCTCCCCCTGCTTCCGTTAACAGCTTGAAGGATTGTCTGATTAGCGATTAGCTGGTGCCTGGACAGAGAATCTAGGGCCAGGCCTGAGAGGAAGGGGCTGGGACCCCCAGGGCAGGGAGATGATTTAATCGTGGGGGGTGTGCGGGGGGGAATAAGTGTGCGCAGTAGCTATGCGTGTGCATGTGACCTCATGTGTGTTACATATGTAGTACGTAAGTGTGTGAGACATATCAGTGTTTGTGTGCACGTAAGTGTGACTCCAAGGTGAGTGTGTTTGAGGGTAGGTGTGAGTCCAGTTCATTTTGTTAAACACTTACCGAGCTGCCGCTCCGGGCCTGGCTCTGGGCTGAGCGCCACTGACCCAGAGACAAATCAGACACAGGCCAGGCTCATGCAGAGAATTATTGCAGGTTCCCCCTCACGTGGGGAAACCGAAGCCCCCAAAGTGGGATCGGTAGCCCAGGGGGTCACACAGTGCCTGGTTCTAGTCCCTACGCCTCTTTTTAGTAAACCAAATAGTCTATATTCTATTGCTTTTGTGTTGCGTGTGTGTGTTTGAGAGTGTGTGTTAGTATGTGCGTATATAAATGTGTGTGTATGTGTACGAGTGTGTGGGAAGGTGTGTTTTAAAGTGTGTATGTGTGAATCTGATAGTTGTGTGTATGTGTATGTGTGAAAGAGTAGTGTGTGTGTGAGTGTGTGTGTAGCATAGAATCTGTGTGCGTTATCTGTGAGCACATCTATAGAAGCACGTGTGTGTGTGTGTGTGTGTGTGTGTGTGTGTGTGTGGTGGCTGCTGGGCCCCACGCCTGCACAGCGGCCATATCCGTGTCTTCTGCGTCAGCCGCTCCCCTCCTGAACTTGAACGAGCCCGGCCTCTGCCTGGGGAGGGGTCTCCATATCAGCTGGCAGCTGGCAGGGGGGCATCCCTGGCCTCACCCTCCCTCATCCACAGGCGTGATCCGGACGGCCGTGCCTGACCTTGACCGCGAGAGCCAGGAGCGCTACGAGGTGGTGATCCAGGCCACAGACATGGCGGGCCAACTGGGCGGCCTCTCCGGCTCCACAACTGTCACCATCGTGGTCACCGACGTCAACGACAACCCTCCCCGGTTCCCGCAGAGTGAGTGAGGCCTTCCCAGAGGGAGGAGGCAGATCCGTGTGTCTGTCTGATCATCCCTCCAAGCCACCCACTGACCCCAAGCTGCCTTGTAGGCTTCCCGCCATAGAGGAACTCCCCCATCTGTCTGCGTCCATCCATCCGAGTCACCCACTTACGCCCTGCCCCTCCAACCACTCTTCTTGCAGGGGATGGCCTCAAAGTTGTCTGATTTTCCATACATCCAAGTAACGCTGTTACCTTCCCACCCCTCACCTTGCTTCCTGCCAGAGTGAGCCCCGTCTGTCCACCCACCCCGACTGGCCCTTGCACACACCCCTGTCCTGTTTATTGTGTGTGTGATCTGCTACTGACCCAAGCTTGCAAAGGGACATTGGAGGTGGGAGGACAGATACAAGGCTATCTTAGGGATATAGACAGAGGCTGCAGCCATGCCCAAGCCGAGTGACACCTATAATTGTGCATGGAGATGCCAAGGTCTGGAGTGACAGGTCTTACCCTTTTCCTCTGAGCCTGGAGGGCAGGATTCCGTGCTCCTGAACTAGGAGGCCTTTCCACTCTCTGCCTCCCCAGGCACAACAGGGCGGAGGCGGCTTCTCTGACTCAGCTCCCCACCTCCCCATCAGCCCAGCCAGCCCCTCTGTCCCAGGTTCAGGCTGAGCCGCGTGAGAAGCCGCCGAAGCTGGCAGAGAGTAAATGCCGTGGGGAGCTGGGCTGATTCCTATCGGGCAAGTCATTACTTGAGGTCTGCTGCTCTCACATTAGGCCCCGCCACAGGGGACTGACCCCCGAGAGATAAGGGAATCCAATCCCTTAGCTGAGAGCACATCGCAGCCTAAGCGCCTCAATCCAGACGCACAGCGGGGTGGGCAGAGCCGGCCAGCCAGCTCCACATTGTTGCCAGGGAGCCTGGTATGGCAGCCGCCCCCAGCCACTCCTCCAGCCCAGCCCCACTCACCGATGGGAAGCTTCAAAGCACCGTGTGGAGGGGCGGGGACCACCCAGTCTTCTGCGCAGTTGTGTGATGCTCTGTGCCAGCCCTGAGCCAGAAGGGGTAGGGCAGAGCAGAGGGGCCAGGGTCCCCCAGAAGACTCCTGTTTATTCATTCATGTACTCCTTCATTCTTTCTTTATTGTGAAATACACACACAAACAGAAGTGCGTAAAATAGAAATGTCCAGTTCGACAAATAATTACAAAGCAAACACTCCTGTAACCACCAGCCAGGACCCCAGAAGCCCCCAAAAGCCCCTTCTCTTTTTTTTCCCATCCAGCTATTCCTTTATTTTATTTTTTAATTTTTTTAACATCTTTATTGGAGTGTAATTGCTTTACAATGGTGTGTTTGTTTCTGCTGTATCACAAAGTGAATCAGCTATACGTATACATGTATCCCCATATCCCCTCCCTCTTGTGTTTCCCTCTCACCTTCCCTAACCCACCCCTCTAGGTGGTCGCAAAGCACCGAGCTGATCTCCCTGTGCTATGCGGCTGCTTCCCACTAGCTATCTATTTTACATTTGGTAGTGTGTATATGACCATGCCACTCTCAAGCCCTTTCTTGATCATAACTTCTCCCCCCAAACCCTCCTCCGGAGTTAACTTCCATCTGCTTTTGTGATCATCTCCTTGCTTTTCTTTTTGCTTGAAGTATAGTTGATGTATAATATTATATAAATCATAGGTGCACAATATGGTAATTTGCAAGTTTTAAAGGTTATACTCCATTTATAGTTATTACAAATTATTTGCTATATTCCCTGTGTTGTACAATATATCCGTGTAGCTTATTTTAAACCTAATAATTTGTACCTCTTAATCCCCTCCTCCTATCTTGACCCTTCCTCCTTCCCTCTCCCCCTTGGTAACCACTGGTTTGTTCTCTATATCTGTGAGTCTGCTTCTTTTTTATTATATTCACTAGTTTATTATATTTTTTAAATTTTTATTTATTTATTTATTTTTGGCTGTGTTGGGTCTTCGTTTCTGTGCAAGGGCTTTCTCTAGTTGTGGCGAACGGGGGCCTCTCTTCATCGTGGTGCGTGGGCCTCTCACTGTCGCGGCCTCTCTTGTTGCGGACCACAAGCTCCAGACGCGCAGGCTCAGTAGTTGTGGCTCACGGGCCTAGTTGCTCCGCGGCATGTGGGATCTTCCCAGACTAGGGCTCGAACCCGTGTCCCCTGCATTGGCAGGCAGATTCTCAACCACTGCGCCACCAGGGAAGCCCTGTTATATTTTTTTAGATTCCCCATATAAGCGATATCATACAGTATTTTTCTTTTTCTGTCTGACTTATTTCACTTAGCATAATGCATTGTAAGTCCATCCATGTTGCTGCAAATGGCAAAATTTCATTCTTTTTTATGGATGAGTAGTATTTCATTGTGTATATATATACCACATCTTCTTTATCCATTCCTTTAGGGTTGATTCACCCATGTAGGCATCGCCTAACATTTAGTTTAATTTCATGTTTTTTAACCTTATCTAAATGGAGCCACACAATACGAATGATTTGTGTCTTGCTTTTTTGTCTCTCAAAATTATGTTTGTGAAATCACATGTTGTTGCTTGTAGCTATAATTTATTCATTTTCACTGCTGTATAGTACTCCATGATTTATCTATTCTCCTGTCAGTGGACATTTGGGTTGTTTCCAGTTTGAGGCTATTATAGAGAATACTGCTTTGAACATTGTTGCATGTGTCCTAGTGCCATTTTGCATACACTTCTCTAGTATACAGAGGAGCAGAATAAACTCATCTTCAATTTTACTAAATAAAGCCACATTGTTTTCCCCCACGAAGAAATGCATGTGTCCATTGTACCATATCCTCACCGACAGTTGGTACTGTCAGATTCTTTCATTTGTGTTAATCTGGTGAGTGTATACTAGTATCTCATGCTGCTTTTCATTCATTCACTCACTAGTCACTCACACATTTCATTTATGTGACAGCCTGGTGTTCTGCCAGGCACCGTGAATGCCTGATGAATAAGGGATGTGGTCCCTGCCTTGCTGGAGCTCACACCCCTGAGGGAGGGAGGGGGAGAGAGAGAGGGAGAGAGAATAAACAGAAAATGACAGAGAAATGCAGTAATCCTTACAATGGGATGAGCTTGGGGGCCCTAGACACACAGGAACAGAGCCTGGAGGTCTGGGAAGCTTCCCTGTTGGAGGTAATATTCAGTGAGACTAAAAAAGAGTAGGAACAGGGGAGGTGAGGGCAGAGAGGAGAATAAAGAGAGGGAATGTCTAGGGGTGGGACAGAGCAAGTCATCCTTAAGGAATTACAAGAACTTCAGCCAGATTGAAGCTCAAGTTAGGGTAGGCGGTTGGGGGCATGAGGCTGCAGAAGTCAGCAGGGGCCAGGCAGCAAGCATCTTGCAGAGCAGGCCAAAGGGCTTGTACAACTCCATCCCAAGGGCAGCGGTGAGCTATGGCAAGGATTAACGCAGGGGAGTGGCGAGGTCAGCTTGTGTTAAAGCGCCCCCCACCCCGGCTGTTTATGTGACAGTGAATCAGAGGCAGCCACTCCACACAAGGGTATCCAGACCAGAGGGGGTCCCAAGAGACACATCCCCATCTCCACAACACCTGCTGGCCCATCATTTAGCAAATCACCCTCACCTTCATCTCGGCTCTGGGAGGAGAGCAGGGAGCTGTTTGCGTCCCACCTGACCCTCATTCCTTCTGGTTTCCCCCTGCTTCCCCACCTCCTCTGGCCACAATGGTCATCTTACCATTCTTCAAACACGCCAGGCATTGCAGCCACCTCAGGGCCTTTGCACCTGCTGTTTCCTCTGTCTAGAATGCTCCTTCTGAAATATATGCTTGACTCACTCCCTCACCTCCCTCAGACTTTTGCAGAAATGTCGTCTTTTCCTCAATTGCCTTATTTAAAACTCCACACACACCGTCATCATCACTCCCATTTCCCTTCCCAGCTTTATTTTTCTCCAAATTACCATTTGACCTGCTGTTTTACTGATGTGATTGTTTAGTGTCTTTCTCCTTCCATTAAGAGGAAAGCACTGTGAGCCCTGGGATTTGGGTCTGTTTTGCTTGTTGCTGGAACCCCAGTGCATAGAGCTGCATCTGGGACATCATAGATACTAAATAAATATGTGGAAATGAAGAAACCAATATCATTAACATCAACAGCGACAAAAAATCAGCACGAAGCCCCACTGTTCTAATGCAATTTGTTCCATTTATTGGGTAGCTACCAGGTGTTGGGCCCTATGCTAAGCAATTGACAGGCATCATCCGAGCTCGTTGCAGGATGGACAGTGCTGTTAGGAAGGCACTGTTATTATTCCCATTCTACAGATGAGGAAAACCAAAGCTTGGGATTACACAGCTGGGACTGACTCTAGAGCCTTAGCCTTGATCACCGTGCTCCTCTGTCCCTTCACTGGGCAGATGGGGACACTGAGTCCCAAAGAACTGCAGGCACTTTCCCAAGTCAATCAGAGAATAAAGCCAGGGTGAGAATTAAAACCCTCCTCTTTGCACTGCATCCCACATTTCTGCAGGGGACGCACCTCTCCCAGCATCAGTCCTGGCCAAGCAGGGAGCGCCTTTAAGACACTGCCCTCCAAGGAGCCCATCTGAGACACCCCACTCCTCTCCCGTAGCGCTGGTGGGAGCTGGGGGAGGGGCTGTCACTCCATCCCTGCTCACAGCTGTATTCCCTACAGAGATGTACCAGTTCAGCATTCAGGAGTCGGCCCCCATCGGCACAGCTGTGGGACGCGTGAAGGCCGAGGACTCAGACGTGGGCGAAAACACAGACATGACTTACCACCTCAGGGAGGAGAGCGGCAGCGGCGGCCATGTGTTCAAGGTCACCACAGACAGCGACACTCAGGAGGCCATCATCTTAGTGCAGAAGGTGCGGGGCTGCCCCAGGAGGGGTGGGGGAGGCAGGCCCCAGGGCAGCAGGGTCAGGGGGTCTGTTGAGTGGCCAAATATCCCCACCCCACTCCACTCCAGGGATTAAGTCTCTCCGGAAACTCTGGACCAACCTGGGAAGACGCTGATGGTGTCATTCCCATTTTACAAATGGGAAAATGAAGCACAGAGAGGTTAAGTGACTTGTCCAAGGTTGCACAGCTAGTTGTCAAGAGCCAGGATTCAATCCAGATTTGAATCTGTGCTCTTCAACACTATGCTGAGCTACTTCAAGATCATACCAGGCCCTTCACACTCATTGTTTCCTTTAATCCTCATGTTCCCCTCTGAAGGAAATATGCCCATTTTTACAAGTGAGAAAACAGAGGCTCAGAGAGGTAAAAGGGCTTGCCCAAGAGCACACCTGTAAAGGGTAGAGTGGGATTTGAACCCAGGTCTGGTGAGCCCAAAGTGCTTTCCTTCCTGAGTCTAACAGCCTCCTCACCCACTGGCCAGCCTCGGAACCAGAAGCTAAAATAGCAAAGTCAGCAACCCCTAGCGAAAGCGGACGGAGGTCAAATAAAAAAGCAAATATCCATCTTCCAGGACTTGGTCACGGGCTTGGCAACTCAGGGCTGCGCAGGCCTTTGAGCCTGTCCGCTCCAACCCTGCTGTCCCATGGGAGGTCTAAATCCCCTGCCCTGGCCCACAAATGGTCATAGGCCTTTGTACATGCCCGGGGATGGGATGCTCACTCCCTACCATCGTCCAGCTCTTCCTCCTCCCATTCAGCCAGAATCCATCTCCTTCAATCTGCTCCTATCAGCCCAGGTTCTGCCCTCTGGGACCCACAGAAACATCTGCCCCCCGACGGCCCTTCATTCACTCAATAAGCAAACTCTCTACCTGGCCTTGAGGGCTTGAGGATAGAGAAAACTCCCAGTTTCTTCAACAAGGATAATAATATAATACTAATACTTATAATGAGCGTTTACATTGTGCCAGGAGTCCTTCCACTGCTTTCCATGTATTAACTCATTTGATCCCTACAATGACCCTCTGAAGTACTATTATTGCCCATTTTATAGATGAGAAACTGAGGCCCTGAGAACTTCAGACATTTGCATCCAAGGTCATGCATCTTACAGAGCAGTTGTAGGGCTATGGATCCAGGCAGTCTGGCTCCAGAATCCACCCTTTTAAGCATTAAGTGGTTTTCAGTCTTCTGACCTCCATTTGTCCTCACTGTAAGATGAGCCCATTTCACAGATGGGGAACTGGAGGCCCAGAGAAGCCCAGCATCACACAGCAACAGAATCAGGCCCCAAGCCCAGCCTGGGGACCTCAGCACAGCATTTGCTCTCATCCACAGTGCTGCCTCTATCCTGCCCCCCTCTCCTCCCTGGCTCTTGGGCCCCCCTCCCGCCTGCTCCAGTAGTGGCGCCCGAGGTGCCTCTGTGGAGTCAGTGCTGGCTCAGGGAGCAGAGCCCCCGCCTGATTGATGACCTGGCTCCAGAGCCCATCGCTCACTCCCAGACCAGGCCTGCGCCTGCCTCCCTGCATCCTGATTTCCCAGGCAACAGGATGGAGGAAGGAGGTAGAAGGTAGCCATTCTTTTTTTTTTTTTTTTTGCTGCTGGAGAAGGGGGCGGGGGATGGGAGGTTCTGAGAGGAAAGGAGGGTCCCTACACACAGGGCAGGTCTCCAGGAAGGTGGCCCCTGCTGCTCAGATAGCTCCCCCACCGTGTAACGGAGGTGCCTGTGGTTCCACCAGTGCAATTTCTCTTTGCTCTAAGGCATTGTCCTTAGAAGGCCAGCACCCATACAGCCGTGGAGCTTGTCCATCAGAGGGTCACCCACCAGCACTCTCTGATGAGAAGCAGCGCTCAGCATGGCTTTAGCCAGATCTCTGAGGAAAGCTCTAAGGCAGCCAGGCTTATCAGGCTCAACTCACATTAGCAGCTGCCACCAGTGTACACCAGGAACGTGTCATTTAACCCTCCCGCCTGAGGCCCAGAGAGGCCAAATAGATTGCCGGCAGACACAGAGCCAGCGCCTTTCCTCTCATGGGCCTGGGACTTGGGAGCCGACGGTGGGCAAGTTACAGAGCCTTCTGGGCCTCGATTTCCTTGTGTGTAAAATGTGATGATAATAATAATACAAGCCTCTTTGGGATGTTGTCAAATAGATGAGCCACTATGTTTAGAACACTGGCACATAGCGCTTTGTAAATTAATAAATTAATGCCCCAACCTACTGTGCTCTGTAGCGGGAAGTCTGGGTATCAGTACTTGACCCTGTGTCCCTGGACAAGACTGTCCCCAGCAGGGCCTTACTTTCTCCACTTGTAACCAGAGAGGGTTGGTCTGGGTCTTGGACAGCCGGTTCCATGGTGCAGCCTGATACTCAGGAGGCCCTGCTGAGTCAACTGTCACCTTGGCCCATCCCCCCTGACTTAGGATCTGTCTGCCCGGAGGTGTTGAGCAGACCCCAACCCACTCACCGGCCCTCTGCTTCCTCCCCACCAGCGCCTGGACTTCGAGTCCCAGCCCGTGCACACCGTGGTCCTGGAGGCGCTCAACAAGTTCGTGGACCCCCGCTTCGCTGACCTGGGCACGTTCCGCGACCAGGCGATCGTGCGTGTGGCCGTGACCGACGTGGACGAGCCCCCCGAGTTCCAGCAGCCCTCCGGCCTCCTGGAGGTACAGGAGGACGCGCAGGTGGGCTCCCTGGTCGTCGTGGTGACGGCGCGGGACCCCGACGCCGCCAACCGGCCCGTCCGGTGAGACCCCCGCCTGGGGCCGACGCCTGCTGCCTGCTACCCCGTCAGCGCCCTCGGACAGACGGCGGGCAGAGGGGGAGGGGGCAGGGCGGGGAAGGGAGGGGAAAAAGATGATGTGGGGGGAGGGGAGAGAGAGAGATGGACACAGAGATGGAGAGAAACAGGCGGGGAGCCAAGGAGACAAGGGAAACAGGTTAGAGAACAGTCGCAGAGAGACAAGGGACCCAGGATAAGGAGAGAGAACCAGGTGTGACAGACACATCACAGTGACCTGGACTCAACCTCAGTCCTCCACCAAAAAAAAAAAAAAAAAAGATAATTTCATCCTTTCAGCTTTTCAGGTCAAAAATGTTGAAAACCATCCTCGAGCTCTGTTTTTCTCTCACACCTCCCTCCAGTCCATCCGCAGCCCCTGTCATCCCTGCTTTAAAATCGTCAGCAGAATCAGACCATTTCTCACCTCCTCCGCTGCTGCCACCCTGGTCCAAGCCACCTCTTTCTCCTGCCTGGATTACTGCCTCCTTGCTGGACTCCCTGCTTGTGTCCTCACACCTCTTCAGTCTAGAATGGGCACAGGAGCTAGACTGATCCCACCCAAATGTAAATCAGGGCGTGGCCCTCCTCTGCTCAAAGCCCTCCAAAGGCACCTCTTGGACTCAGGATAAAAGCCCAGACTCTCACAATGCCCCCCAGACCCTATGCGGTGTGGCCTCACTGTAACCTCTCAGACATCACCTCCCACTACCCTCCTTCCCTGGTTCACTCTGCTCAGCCACACTGGCCTCCGCCCAGCTCCGCAGATACACCCAGCCCGCCTCTACCCCAGGGCCTTTGCATCTCCTGATCGCTTTGCCTGGAATGTTCTCCCCCTTAATATCTCCATGGTTGGTCCTCTCACTTCCTCCAGGACTTTCCTCAAGCATCAGCTTCTCAGTGCAACCTTCCCCAACCACTCTTTCTAAAATGTCAACCCCACCCCAACCTGTCCCCACACTTTGTATCCATTTTCCTTTGTCCTTCATCACCAGCTAACCTGCTACCCATTTTCCTGATGACTTCGTTTGTACCCCCCTAAAAGATAAACACTAGGAGGGTAGGGATGCATGTCTGTGTTCACGGCTGTATCCTCAGCACCTCACCCACTGCCTAGCGCTTGGTGGACACTCCCGGACGCATGGTGAATGAATGCCATGTAAAATCAGAGAAAGACTGAGAAAAGAGAGAGACTCATGGAGGGGTAGTGAGACCAACAATGAGAGGAAGTGACCAGAGAAGGAGGAAAGCCGGTGGAAAGAGGGCAGGAGTAACTAAAGGACAGAGGGACCTACCTGGCACTGTAGGAACAGAGAGAGGAGACTTGGAGAGAAAGCCAGAAAGGGGAAGAAATAAAATCAGACACAGAGAGAGGCAGAGCAGTGAGCGGGGCAGGTGGGTGGAGGGGAGGGGATGCTGTGGCACTATCAGTGTCCCAGGAAGGGTTTGAGAGCTGCAGCGGTTAGGGAGTCCCTGACCGTGGCCCAGGTTGGAAGAATGTCAGATAGAAAGTGATCCAGAGGAGAAGGTCAGGGTGGGGCGGATGGCCATTGTTGGATGGATGGGAAAAAGAGCCTGGAGCTTCCTGCTTTTTCCCTAAAACCCCCGTTATATAGTCAGTGAATGATCCCTCAGGCAACTGTGTGCCTAGCTCTGTGCTGAGCATCGGAGAAAGAGGGAAGGGAAGTTACTTTGAGGATCTCTGCATCACATATCTCCAGATGCGTAACATTCCCACCATCATCTGTGTGAACGGCTCAGATTTGTACAGTGCACAGGCTGTGCAACCTTACATGGCAACCCGAGGTGAGGACACAAAGATGCCATCCTGCTTAACTACCCATGCACTTCCAGACTAGGAGCTACCCTCAGGGGTCTAGAAAGACTTCTTGGAGGAGGCAGGAATTGAACTAAGCTGGGTACCTGAGCCTGGTCAGGTATAACTATGAAGAGAAGGCCATTCCCAGATGCAGGCGTATGGAGGTAGGGGAGTGGTAGGTGTGCCTGGAAAAGAGTAGACTGTGATAGCTACAGGAGGCGGAGGGAGATGAGCTAGTGAGAGAAGTCTGACGGGCCTCAAAGGTAGGCCAAGGGGCTCAGACTGATCCAGAGGTCCAGAGTGCCTCCTGGGCTGCCTCCACCCTTCTCAAGGCCAAAACTGCCCTCCACTGCCTCTGAACTCCTCCACCGCCCTTCCATCCCTGCTACTGGTAGGTACAGTCTTTAAACGTCCCCATCAGCCTTGGGCTCAGCCCAGACCTCTCCCAGGAGGGCATTATCACCCATGTTTGGCAGGAAACTCAGGCCCAGGGAGGGGAGGAGTTAAGAACCAGCAGTAGGAGCCTCATCCTTGCCTCCCAGGTCCCTGCTTCAGTCTGCCTGGCCCCCTCCTCTCCAGTATAGCTCTCCACATCCCCTCTCAGTCCTCTCCCTCCCGCTCTCCGTTGACTTCCCTTCCCCCCCCCCCCCCCCCCCCCTCCCTTCCCCCCCCCCCCCCCCCCCCCGCTTTTATCTGCACTGAAAGGGCCAACTTGGAAACCTGCTCTCACCTCTTTTCATCTCTCTTTGCTGCCTCTTCCCTGGGGCCCCTCAGATGTGGAGGTGGTGAGGAGCTTGAGACAGGTCCAATTTCATACGACAAACATTTACCCAACTCCTCCTCCATGCCCAGCCCTGAGCCAGGCCTGAGATGACTCAGCCAAGGGCAGAGCTGGAGAGGAGCGCCCAGTCCATAGGGGACAGGCATGGAAATGGGAGGCCAGAGAAGGGGTCCTCACAGGCCACATGTGCGGCCCAGAGCCCAGCTTATGTTCCAGCTCCCCCAGTTCCAAAGGTCCTAGACTCAGCACCTACGCATTGAGTCATGTCATCCAGGAAATGAGGATCCAGGAAATGGGGAAATGGTGATAAGACCCAGTCCCTCCCCTCATGGAGTTTGTGGGCCGTTGTGGGGGGCAGACAGTCAACAAGTAGCTGTTGAGACACATCAACAAATGGTTAAAAAGGATCATTGCTGATAAGAGCTATGAAGAAAATAAACTACTATGTAATGGGATAAGGAGGATTGGGGCCACAGGGGGCTACTTTGGCTTAAGTTGTCAAGGAGCTGGCAAATGAGTTCACATCAGAATGATCAAGAGAGAGCCACCCAAACAAAGATGTGCGGAAGCGCTTTCCAGGTAGAAGGAACAGCAAGTGCAAAGGTCCAGAGGCAGGAACAAGCTTAGTGCGTTCCTGGAAATGAAGTGGTATCCTGGGAGATTTTGCCTAGCATAGTAGGCACCTTGGAAATACAGAAATACAGATGTACAGAGTGATTCTTCTGAGTCGCTGCACTGGAGAGAGTGGAAGATGCCTCATACTGTGGCGTTTGGCCCTCAGAATGTAGTTAACTCATTCTACAGATGAAGGAACTGAGGGCCTGAGAGGAGAAGTGACTCTCCCAGTGTCACTCGGCCTGAAAGGGGAAGGAATGAGATTTAACCCATGATTGTCTGCTTCTTGAGTCCAGCCTCCTGCCATTTTACTCCTGCTTCTGACTCTCTTTTTAGTTAGAACTATTTCCAACCTTACACTGTGCCCTTCCGTGTGCGTGAGGCCCAGAGAGTCAGATGGGGGCGATGGGAAGGCTGGGGCCCCGTGTGAGTGAATCTAGTGACAGATCTAAGCCTGAGTGGGCTGAGGCAGGGGCTAAGGACTAAGGAGCTCCAAGCAGGGGCAAGGACACTGGGCACCAAGGAGGGATGGCCCCCGAGCAAGGATGAAGAAGACGAGGTTGGAATGGGAGGACAGCACTCCAGGGTGGAGTGATAGTGAGGGCCTGGTGGCAGGAACAGAATCATGGAGCCAGGAGGTTAAGTTCAGGGGCAGGGAGGTCAGCTGGATGAGCTCACGTGAGGGGGGTGGGCTGGAGATGAGGTCATGGGGGGGCACTTGGGGACAAGCTGTGAAGGGCCTTGAATGTCAGATGAAGGTGTGGGACTTTATCCCTAGGCAGTGGGAAGTCTTGGAAGGCTTTTGAGAGGAGGAGGAGAGGGCTCAGATGGGCCCATGCCTGGATTTAGGCAGCCTTGCAGATAGACCGGCTGTTTATCAGCCCAGCCCCAGCCCTACCAGCCCCAGCCCCCTCGTGAGTCTTCCTTGAATGCCGAAAACAGGAAAGCCCACACTGGACCAGAGAGAGAGTGAACACTTCATTTCCTCCCAGCAGTCCACAGTGGGGTGCAGCAGAAAGTACATGCACTTTAGGATCATGAATCCTAGCTCAGTTGTAGAATTGTGGGAAAATCACTGCACCCACTCCAAGCCTCAGTTTTCCCATCTCTAAAATGGGTGTCATTGTAGTTCTCGCCTCATTCATTTATTCAAAAAAATAGGTACTAAATGTCTATCATGGACCAGGTTCTACGCTCGGTGGTACCGGGATTGGAGGGAGGATTAAGTGTTTGGTACATAATAGGTCCTCAGGAAATGAACATTACGATTTTTCTCAGTGCTCTGGACACAGAACTAACCACACATAAATTTCTAGGTGTCATGTGCAGGCTTTGAGTGTGTGCCTTAAAAGGGTTAGGGGGAGGGGAAAGAGTCGAAGACAGCATGGGCTGAGCAGAGAAGAATCCCCGGGTCAGGGGAGCAGCCCCTTTTGCATCTGAAGAGTTTCCCCCACTAGTAGCTCAGGTGGAGGCCGCATCACTCAGCCTGCTGCATGTACACGTGTATGTACACGAGCCTGGACACAGGAGCACCGGGCAGGCTGGACACACATGGATCTGCAGACTTTCATATCTATCATGCCTGTGTGAGCTATCTATGCACATATTTATGTGGAGAAAACCCACATGCGCACTCAAGGCAGGAAGAAGTACCCTCCCCACTTCTCTCACCCTGACCTTGACAGCAGCAGTGTTTTGTGTTGTGCCCAGGGTGTGGGAGCACCCGCAGGTATACCTGGCTGGTCCTCAGGAGGGTGCCCTTAGTTAGATCTGGGAATCTGGACAGACAGACGTGGCTTGGGAATTTGGCTCTGCCACTAACCAGCCCTTTTGACCCAGGGCGAGGCACCTGGCTTCTCTGAGCCTCAGCTTCCTCATGTGTAAAACGGCAGCGGCAGTGATGACTGTTATCTGCAAGGACTGGAGGAGCTCGTGCATGTGAAGCCCTTACACAGGCCTGTCACAAAGTCTTGCTGAGCAAATAAAAATAAGAGCTAAACCGTACGTCATGTGGTAGGTGCCCAGCGCTGTTAAAAGTGTTTTATTGGTAGTACTTGTCTAACCCTCACAACCACCCTGTGAGGTAGGTGTTATTATTAGCGCCATTTCTAAGAGGGAACCAAAGACCAGAGAGGTTAAGTGACTTGCTCAGGGTCACACAGCTAGGTTTCAAACCTAGCCAGATGGCCACCAGATCCGCACTCCTGACCGTCATTCCCAGGCTTTCTTTGCACGTGTGCACACGCACACACACACTAGCAGACACATACCCACACTCTGTCACTGTACTTTTCCACCCACACCAGCTGCTGTTCCCCTTCCTGCCCTTCAGATCCTGGCTGACCAAATGAGAAGTAGGGCAGTGAGAACTGAGCAGAACCTTCTAGACCACAGATGCCTCCTGTCCTCCTCAGACCGCTGGCAATGCTGCCATGTCCATACATGGTGCCTCCCACCCCCAGGCACACAGACCACACACTGGGTTGAAGGGTCACCTGTGTCCCCCTTACCAGACATTTCGGAACGCTCATTAGAATAACAATAGTTCTCACTCGGGGAGTCATTTTCCTGGAACCCAACTAGGCACCTGTCCCCTAGCCAGGTGCTTAATCCTCCCAACCACTTGCAAGGTGGGAGTAAAATCGGTTCCATTTTGCTGAAAATTAAGGCTCAAACATGCAGTGACTTGTCCGGGGACATCGTGGATCCAGACCCAGGGCTGAGCGGCTGCCTCTCATACCTTCCAACTGCAACACAGCGTCACACACCAGTTTCCACCCACAACACAGACACACAACTCTTGCACCTACACGTGAGGGGTACACGAGCGTCCCCCACTGCCCCCCACGTCTGCCAGGCCACACTCCTTGCCACACACCACGCCCTCCGCCCCTCCCTCCCATTCACTCGCTGGCTCCCTGAGCTGGAACAAAGCCACCTGGGCTCAGCGGCCACACTGACCTGCAGCCCCAAGTCTTTACCTGGTTAACGGAGGCTCCCCGCGGCTCCCGCCCCATGGCCTTGGGAACAGCTGCCTCCACTTAGATTCCAGCCCCCCTTCCCCTCCAGGAGGGAACGAAAAAGAACTGGGAGGAGGAGGGAGAAGAGAGCAAACAGGTCTGAGCCGAGAGGGGAGGAGAAACAAGAAGGCGGTGGGCATCCTCCCACCAGCCCGGCCTCACGCCCAGCCCTGACCAGGTGATCAGGAGCCCCAGGCTAGGTCATGCCCCTGGCTCTCTCCTGGACTCACTTCTCCCACCTGTAAAATCAGGAGGAGGTCTCCACGTTCCTTCCAGCTGAGCTGACACTACTCAGAGTCTGGTTCTACCTCCTTTGGACCCAAACATCCGACAGGCCAGGCTTGGGGCAAAGGCAACCTGAGACTCCATGCATTGCCACTTTGGATGGTTCAGTGCGCTAGAAAGAACTCTGGGTGTAGAGGCCCATATTGGGGTACAGATTCCAATTCTGTGACAGTCCCTGTGCAACCTTGGGCAGGGTTATCACTAGCCCGTATGGCACCTTTCGTAAATAAGAAAAAAGTCGCCTTTTGAGAAGATGCTCCCTGGGCTAGGACACATGGCTGGGCAAGCAGAACACTGGCTGGACTTCACCCCCACTTCCCCTCTTCAGCCTGTTAACTCTGTGCAGGACACAACCTGCACAACCATACTTGGCAGCCCTAAGCTTGGCAAGTTTCCTCTCTGAGCCTCAGTGTCTCCATCTGCAAAATGGGGTGAGATCACATCAGCCTCACAAGATGCCAGGCAGGGAGGGACATTGTCTGTCTTGTTTGCCATTTTGTCCCCAGGGCTTAGCACATAGCAGCACAGAGAAGGCACTCAGTTAATGTTTAGGCATAAAGGAACGAAGGGAGGGATGGCTGGAGGAAAAGTAAGCTACAAACTGCTAAGAGCTATACGGGTGAGAGGAATTGTCATCTTGGATCTGAACCTCCCCACACACTTTCACCCAGGTCAGGAGGACCCAGGCTGATCAGGGCCAAAGGAGAATATAGGCTTAGCAGCTTAGGGACAGGAAGGGGCAATAAACTAGGGACTCAGGAGATGCCCCCTACACCCACGTGCCCAGGCCTTTTCAGTTTGACACGAGCCTCCACTTCCACTACAACAATGAATATGAAAATAAGGGCTGTCACCTCTGCCCAGTTCCATGAATTACCTCCTCTAACCCACACCAGTGTGAGGTGAGTATGAATCACCCTATTTTCCAGACAACCAAACAGAGGCCAAAGAGGTCCAGTGACTTGTCCAAGGTCACACAGGTGGAATAAGAAGCAGATGATTCAAAGCCAGCTCCAGCTGCTCCCAGATCTGTGCAGTCCCACTGGACATCATTATCCCCATTCAACAGATGAGGAAACTGAGGCCCAGAGAGGTTTGGTAATGCAGCCAAGGCCCCACTGAAGGGTCATCTCAGGGCTTCGGGTTCCCACAGAGGGTGTTTCTGGTATCCTCAGTTTCCCCGCTCTGGAAGATGGGGGAAGGGCCCCTTTCCTTCTGCTGGTGGAAGTGGGAGGGGCGCCCCGCTGGGGCGGAGCCCCACCCCACCGCGCTCCTTTGTCCCCGCTTCACAAAGAGCCCTTGCTAGGCATTAGGGGCCTTCGTCGGCCGTGCAGCCTGGCGGCGCCCCCTCCCGCGTTATCAGCGCCGAGAAGCGGCGGAGAGAGCTGGCGGGGCCTCTCTGGGCCGCCGCCTCCCGAGACATGTGTTGGACACGGGCCTTTCAGGCCTGGAGTAGCCGCACAAAGGCCGGGGAAGAAGGCGGAACAAAGGGCTTTTTCACGCGGCAACGAAAAAGCCGCAGATTAGCACGGGCATGCTAAGGTGGCGGGGAGGGGCCGGCTGCCATCCCCCCAGACCCCTTCCCGCCGCCTCCGCTCAGCCCGTGTGCCCTGTCTGGGGCCTCCGGAGAGCCTCAGAGCGACAGAGCCAACCCACTGTCTCCTGCTCAAAATCCCCCTTGGCGCCCCAGGACACTCAGCCCCCTGAATTCTGCACTCTGCCTGTTCTGATGCCTCCTCCTCCCCACTTCCCAGTTCTGGCCTTTTTTGCACCATAAGCCATTCCCTAAGTAATTCTCACCCGCCCTTTGCAGCTTCTGTTCCCCCTGCCTGGAATGCCGTCCTGTCCCTTTCTCAAGCCCAACTCTAGGGTCACCTCTTATGGAAAGATAAGAATCAAATATCCCGCGGGTGCTAACTCTATGCTGGGCCCTTTGCCTTCTTCCAGCCCTCATAACGACCGTGGGACGCAAATCATTAGCCCCATTACCCAGCTGAGGAAACTGAGGCTCAGAAAGCTTGAGGGTTGCCCATGGTCACATGGCAGGTACCCAGTGCAGCTGAGATGCAAACTCAGATCCATTTCCACTCCTCTGCTTCTTGTGTCTCCCAGGCAGGTGGTTCCTCTTTGGGGGTTGGGTGGAGGGACATGGGCACAGGTTCCACTGGCGCCAGGCCACCTTCAATCAGCCCCGCCCTGCCTCCCTCAGGTACGCCATTGACCGTGACTCAGATTTGGACCAGATTTTTGATATCGATGCGGACACGGGCGCCATCGTAATCGGCAAGGGGCTGGACCGAGAGACTGCCGGCTGGCACAACATCACTGTGCTGGCCATGGAGGCGGGTGAGCCAGGGGGCGGGGCGAATATGGGAGGGAGGGGCGATGGCTGAGGGCTGGAGCTGGGGCGGGGCAAAGCCCAGGGAGGAGGGACCAAAGGCTGGGGGCGGGGCAAAGAGTAAGAAACTGGGCAAAGCTAGGGTGGGGGAGTGGTCAGCAAAAGCTGACCCGCAGGAACAAAGATCTGGGAAGGCTCCCAAGCCAAAAAATGAGGGCCAGTCTTGGGTCTGGCTTTCTTACCTCAGCATTTATTGAGCACCTACTACACACTAATCCCTTTTTTAGAGGCTGGGGATACAGCCCTGAACAAGATAGAAGAACTCCTTTCTCCATAGGGTAGAGTTAGACCATCAACAAACTGAGAGAAAGGGTGTAAGCATGTCAGCTGATGCTAAGTGCTAACAAGAAACTGAGAAAGAAGGAAGCAGAGGAAGGGGATCGGGAGGGGATTGTTTCTCTTAGGGGAAGGCCTCTCTGAAAAGGAGACATTTCAACAGAGAGCTCAGTAAAGTGAGGGAGTCATGCCGCCGTCAGAGGGAAGAGTGTTCCAAGGAGAGGGAACAGCCAGTGCAAAGGGCCTGAGGTAGTAGTTTGCCTAGCGTTGGAGGAACAGCAAGGAGGACAGTGTGGTTGGTGAGGGGCAAACTGGTCAGCCATTGCAAGGTTTTTGGACTTGACTCCAAATGAGGTGGGAGTCACTGGGGGGGTGTTGAGTAGAGGAGGGAGGTTGCCTGACATGATACCTCTGGCTGCTGCATTGCGAATAGACTGGGAGCTCCGAGGTGGGGGCGGGGGCGTGGAGGGGGAACAGGGGCTCAGCCAGAAGTTACATGTGACACTGCCCAGAAGATGAGACAGTGGCCTGGCCCAGGATGAAGCCATGTTAATGGTGAGACGTGGTCAGCTTTGGGAGACAGACTGAAGACAGAGCCCGCAGGACCTGCTGATGGGATGGTACAGAGGAGAGATAGAGAGGGGTCAAAGGATGACTCCAAGGTGCTTGGCCTGAGTTTCTGGAAGTGTGTGTGTGTGTGTGTGTGTGTGTGTGAGAGAGAGAGAGAGAGAGAGAGAGAGAGAGAGAGACATGCAATTTGGCACAGCTGGGGAGGAGTGTGAGCTGAGAGAGAAAGAGGGGGCCCTGGGACATGGGGGCCAGACAAGTCAGGCCGTGGAGGAGGAGCTAAGAGCATGGAGGGTCATGCCACCCAGGAGTGGGGACAGGGCAGTTCTAGGCCTCCTCCACAACCACAGCAACGCTGCCACTGCCCCTGCCTGGACCTGCTCTGCAAGCTCCCCACCCTGTCAGCTCGCCAGGTCTCAGGAGCCAGCAAAGCCTCCAGGAAGCAGTGGTGACAACAGGAATACTCAGAGTCTCTGAGCCTTGGGTGGGGTGGGCGCCGTTCAAACTCCCCTCTGCATACCTCGGCCCCAGGCCCCTCCTGCCACTTCGAGGCCTCCTGGTGGCCTCCCTCTTCCTCCGCCTGCTGGTGCCTCCCACTTCCCAGGCCCCACCAGCCCATTCCAGCCAAGGAAGTCCCTAGGCTGAAGTTCCCTTCGTCTCTTTCAACTTCGGTTTAAAAGAAAATACAATGCTGGCTCAAACCTCAGTGCCTGCTGCTCCCGAGCCTTTTAATTCACTTCTCCACCGCATGAAAGGGAGATAACAAAGGTGGCTGGAGAGGAAGTGGTGGCTGGACTGGAAGGAAGACAGCTCGCCCTCCTTACCTCCCCGAACCTGCCCCTTGGGCAACCATGGGGACTGGCCCAGCTGCTGGGCAGAGATGCCTCCTCTCCCCACCCACAGATACATCTCCTCTACCAGCTGTCACACCGCCCAAAGGCCCACCGCTAGCAAGCCCGTTCTGGGGTTAAGCATTGTGCTTCTACCCAGTGAGTCTCTTTCAGAAAGCAGCTAGAGCCACATATGAAGTCTGCAGTGCTGCCGTTTCACAGGAGAGAGCATGTCCGGGGGACTCTCCCCCACAAACATTTTACAATGTTTACCTAATAGCTACTGAGCTCCATGCTTCCTAGCACGTACTTTATTGATCATGATCTGTTACAGAGCCGCACCCATTTTACTGATGGGAAAATCGAGGCTCAGATCATTAGGAGATTTGTCCAAGGACATGCGGTGGCAGAACTGGGATTTGGACCAAGTGTTCCTGGTTTCCTCCGCAGCTTTGCTACGTGGCCTCCCTTTTCCTGGTACTCTGCTCTCGGGACCCCACCCCAACCCCCAACCCTCCCCAGCAACTGAGCTGGGGAAGGAGATGAGTCTCTGCAAGGAAGGGACTGGTCGCTGGGCTAGAGATCACGCCCCTCTGAGCTGCAATTCACAACGCCTGCCCAACCCTCACCGAGGATATTAATCAATGGGAAAATGAATGGTTCCCACTTCACAGTGCTGGTGGGAGGATTAAATAGGATAATACATGGAAAGAACTTAGCCTAGTACTTCGCTCTCAGTTAATGGTATCTATCGATCTTGACTCTGTGCACTCGGCTTAAGCACCAGCTCTGTGCCAGGCACTTTACAATGCTGTGCTCATTGAATCTTCCACCTATCAGGTGTTGATTCTGCCGTTATCCCCAGTGCGTGGATGAGGAAACTAATAAGAGAGGTGAAGTCATTTGTCCAAATTCCCAGCGCAAGCCTGTCAGACTGCACAGCCCGCTGTCACCCAGATGCCCCTCAAGTCATATGTCTTTGGTACCAGGCACAAAGCCAGGAGTGTTGCAAATAATCCACCCACTCCGCCTTCTTGCCATCTCTGTGAGACAAGGACAAATTATTATCCCCACTTTACAGCCAAGGAAATAGAGGCTCAGGAAGGAACAGCGATGGCCCGGAGTCACAGAGCGAGTCCATGCGGGGCCAGGGCTCCCAGCAGCCAGCCGGGCCCCCAAGTGCAACACCCGTGTCTTCCTGCTGACGCATCCCTTTGGCTTCCTCAGAAACGGGGGATGGTGGTGGGGTCGCGGTGCCCCGCCTGCTCTGGGTGTAACAAACATGAGGTGACAAGAATCAGAGGGAAAATATTTATACACAGCCGCTGAGCTTTGCCAGCACCTCGGAGGATGCAGCACTCAGCCGGGAGCCGCCACCTGTCACACCGGATTACCTCAAAGACTCCCGAACCACTTAGTACGCCCGCTGCCCCCTCCCCAAACTTCTGAGTCATCCATTCTGCCCATGCAGACGCTCCTTCCACTGACATTATCTTTAACGTTTTGTAATCATGAAATATTAATGACCGTTATTGAATTTAAAGTACAATTTGTGTCTGAATCCTTCAGTGGAAAGGGCAGTTGTAAAGGGACAGTCTTCAAAGAGATGGCGGGGTGGAGGGGGAGACTTAGAAAGCCAGTGCTGGAGTGGGCGGTGCCAGGGGGCTGCATCCGGCCCCCTCTTCCAGGCCCTAAGCTGGTCTGCAGGGGTGGCCTCTAGCCGCCCCAGACAGCAAAGAGTTAAGCAGATTAGCTAGAGCTTCCCCATCTGGGTCACCCCAGGCCAAGTCACGGTTTTACAGCCCCCTGATTTTTTCCTTATACCGCAAAGCACACTTTATGATTTATATGTGCATTTGTGTGTGTGCTTTGTTAATCTCTCTTCCCCAGGAAACGATACCTTCCATGAGGGCAGGGTCTCATGTGTATCTGTAGCATTCACACCAGGCCTGGCACTTAGAAGGTGTGTATAAACATTTCCTGAATGGATAGATAAATGGGCTTGCCCACCCAGTTAGGAAGGCAGGGCGACATGATGGAGAAAAACTGGTTCTAGTGGCATGGCTCCCGGCTGTGAGTTTGGGCAGTCGTTTCCCCTCTTCTTGCCTTAGTTTTCTCATCTATTAAATGGTACCGTATTGGATAGCTATAAGGATAATAACTGTATTGTTAACTATTAATAACAGTGGCTTCTATTTATTTGAAGCTCACAATATACCAGATATTGTGCTGAATGCTTTATATAAAGTGTCTGCGGAGGGCCTCTTGTCACCCACCTGCTCTGGGCACTGGGATCTGGTGATAAAAAGTCTTGGCCACTGACCGCAGGAGTTCACAGGTGGGCAGAGAGACACATCAACTGTTGGTGGTAACGCAGAGGGCAAGGAAGGGGGCGGCGGGCATTCAGGGGGTGTAGCCAGGGACTTGCCTCCCTACAGGAGAAGGCAAGAGACTTTCTCAGAGGAGGGGACATTTGAGTTGGGTCTCAAAGGCTAAGGAAAGGGGGTTTGGGAGCTCCCAGCAGAAAGAGCCCCACATGCTCAGGCCTGGAGGCTAGGCCGGCAGAAAGACCCCTGTCCATTCTGAGAATGGAGAGACTGGGCGTGGCCAGAGGCTGGAGCCAGAGAATGGCTGGAGTAGGTGGGGTGAGGTGAGTGTGCAGAAGCTCACTGGGCCTCTACAGGAAGGACCTCGGATGTCCTGTGAGCAGCCGGACATCTCCTGGAGACGACAGGGAGCCAGTGCAGGTTTTAGAGCAGAAGAGGAAGACGGTCAGATGTGCAGTCCGCAGCATTCACTCGGGTTGGTGGGGGAGGGTGGACGGGATGGGGGCAGCCTGGAGCAGGCAACAGATGGGAGGCTGTCAGGAAGACTCGGGCTTGGACATGTGCTGAGGGTACAGGGCAGGGTGGGGACGGGCAGGAGGAAGTGCCAGGGAGGCTGACTGTGGTGCCATCTGGGGAAGAGGCCTGGCACAGCCCTGCATGGAAGGGGTTGCTTCATAAGGCAGTGAGCTCCCCGTCACCAGAAGTGTGTAAATGAGGCCTGGGTTCCTCTTGGATTGGGTAACTCCCGGGATCCTGTGCCACCTATGTACTTAACAGATGCCACCAGGAACAAAGATTTTTGTGATGTCCATGGAGTCTCATAAGACAGCCCAGAGTATCAGGACCAGCCTAGCCCTAGGGAGGAAAACTTTCTCCCACCCCACCCCCCAATGCCAGGGCCCCTGTTTTACCCAGAAGTCCTCCAGCACCCTACGGAGGACCAAACAT